TCGCTATAAATGAAGGTTTGCGAAAGGGACATTCGGTCGACTGAACTAGTGGGCGATATCGGTGTCATCGGCGTTGAGTATTCTCCTTCATTTTTTTTATTTTATTTTATTTTATTTTTTTAATTTTTAATTTTTTTTATGTGGACGACTAATACTAACTCAGCGTCGTCCTCTCTCTACCGTTCTAGGTTGTGGCGATGTCATGGATCCGGGAACTTCGTCATTCACGGCGTATAAGTCTTCTTCGTGATCATGATCGTGATCACGATTATGACAGCATCCCGGCATTTGATCTTCGGGGCTGTCATCTTCGGAAGGTGTGGTAAGCTTTTCATTGCGTTTCGTCTGTTGTGTATGGTTACTTCTTTTTCTAACCATTCTTGTCTTCTTGCTTGGTTTCGTCCGCCTCCGTCACTTCTGCGGTTCGACAAATTCGGCGTTCCTGGGCTTGTCGTCGCGATTCGTAGCATTCGTCGTTTCCGTCGTCGGTGTCGTTGGAGGTCCGTCCTGGTAAGTATGGTCTTGGTTGTTGTTGTTTTCACGTACTTCCGTTGGTTTTCCCGTAGGTCCTTGCGTCGTTGCGGCGTTCGTCTTCGTCGGGCGATGCGCGATCGTGATCATGACCGTGATCACAATTATGACGGCATCGAAGTGTATTTCCAATCGTCTTGGTGCAATTCTGGTAAGTCGCGGCGTTTTCTTTCTTTCGCGGCGTTCTACCGTTGGCTTCTAACTCTTTCTTACCAGTCTTTCCTTAGCCCCATGCTCTCGACGTCCGATTCGCCATCCGCGGGTTCTCCTTGACCCTCGGCGATATCAACGTCCCTGGCTTGGCTACCGGAGTCTCGTCGGTAAGTTCTAGTTCTTTGCCTTCTGTTTCTTCGCCGTTCTTTTCTCAGACGGTCCTCCTTTCTTTAGGGACTCGTCTGGAGCTTCTTTCGGCGTCGCGACTTCTCTTTCTTGAAACCGGAGGGGGTTGAAACAGCAATAGATAAGATAAGATTTGATCAGGGACTTTCCGTTTTTTTTTTTGAACAATACATCGTGGCTGATGGATTTCGACTCCAAATATTCGTCACAACAATAAGTCCCAAGCTCCCAGTATGCGGATATTAAAATCTATCTTTTTCTCCACAATATCTACATCGTTGCACTATGACTATCAACCAGATGTATTGTTGCTCACACATTCTTCAGGTGGGGAAAAGTTTGATGCGGAATATAAAGAATTCTTGAAACTTCCCAGATTTTCTGGATGGTCTGAACATTTCCTTTCTTTCTTTTCTAGGGCAGTTGTCGTGGATTTTCCTTTGCGATAGTCGACATCCCGGCAGTATATGACTTGTTGAAATGTAAGTATCTTCTTGGTTGTGGACGGATGGGGCTTCTCTTGTTCTTTGTTTCTTCTTTGGACAGGGGCGGCGAATTCTCATCGTTACGGCTTCATTCATTTATTTTTTTTATAATTTAATTTTTAAGAATTTTAATTTTTTAGGGGGAGACGCATATATCGTCGATCCCGTGATCATCGTTCTTCAGGCTTCGCTTTTCTTCTGCGCAAGCCATTCCGGAGCTTCTATCGTTGGATTTGGACTTCTTTTAGGTCGGGACGATG